GTGAGGCCTCCACTGGCTTGTGGAGAGGCTGGGCTGCCTACCTCTGGAAATCCCCCCAACTCCTCCCCACGGGCCTCGGGACAGGGAGGCTGGGCCTCCCTCTCACTGACTTCACTTTCTTCACAGTTGTCCAGATGGGTGGCAGCTGCCTGACTGGGCTCTTTTTCTTCTTCTTCTTCATTTTCTTGGGGAATGTGACTCTCCCCGTTTGTATCTTCTTCTATCGCTGGAGCAGAGTCCACTGATACTTCCACAGACGCTGTCAGCAACTTTCTGAGCTCCTTCAAAGAACCTGAGGCAGTGATGGGTTCTGGCTCTTCCTGGGCGGGTTCTTCACCCTCAAGGGGCCCTCCAAGCTCCAGCTCTGACGAACGTGTGCCCGGGAGTCCTGCTGTGTCCTCTGCCGCCACAGGACTCACCACGAGGTCATCCACTCTTGAAATAATAACCTGCTCAGTCCCACCCGGGGGTAGGCTTGGCCCAGGGAGAGAAAGGCTTTCTCCTTTGGCCAATGAGCTAGGGACCTCAGGCTGCTTCTCTTCCTCCGACTCCTGGAATACTTCGTTACTGAGGGTCTCACTACCCGGAACTCCTGGCAGAATGGCAGAAGCTCTCCTGGCAGGGCTGGCCTGGTTTGACCCTGTGAGGGGCTTTAGATCTGTTAAGCTGGACACACTTTCACTGGGCAAGGCCATGTTATCTTCAAATAAGTTGTGTTTCTTCAGGATAGCGGCTTCCTTTATCACTGAGAGATACCAGAGAACAAAACATGATATTAACACTCTGCCCTGGTCAGCCTGGATTTTCTGATTTTATTGAGAAGCCAAAGTCCTCTCTCAGCCTCTCTGGCTATCCAAATTTCTCTATTTCAAGACCCAGTTTACATCCAGGGAGCCTTCCCTGATGACCAAAGACCATAAACTCTTTCCAAACTCTGAGCCTCCGTAGCATTCATTCATTCATTCATTCATTCATTTATTCGAACAGCAAACATTTGCAGGGCATTTAACATGGGACAAGCCCTGGGAATGCAGAGATGAATAAACTATAGCCTTTGTTTTCAAGACACTCAGGGTCTGCAAGAGCATCACCTGTATCCCTCAGGGAGGCCCCAGCACATTTTATTAGCTGCTAAGATGGCTAGCTTCAGTTTGTCCACCTGGACTGAAATCCTCTAGGGCAGGGGCAGGCCTTACACTTCTCTGCTTTACCTTGCAGTACAGTCCTAAATGTGTAATAGGTACTCGGTACTGCACATGCAGAGGAGAGGGCCGAAATGAAGATCTGTGTGCATCTAGCTCAGTTTCAAAGGCCAGCAGAGGGGCAAATCTAATAAGAACAACAACAGCAGGTGACATTTTTGACCACGGGCCTCCTACTTATGGCAGTGCAGGGGCTCTAGTGCCCAAAAATATCACATCCCAGGGCTGCCATTCATATCAAAGACAGTATAGATTTGTGTATTCAGCATAACTTTTCAGCAGCTAGCTGCAGAGTTTCCTTCTCTAACAAAATCAATATATGGTGACAATTTTCTAACAGAGAGCAATAAAGTGTCTGGAGGAAAGGAGTCTTTTTCTCAATCACCCAAAGGTGCCCATGGT